TTAATATTATTTAAAAGTTAAAGAAAGTTCACAATTACCTGCAAATAGCTTATTTTACTTTTAAAATTGTCGATTTCCTCGTCAATATCAGTAGTATCTCCTCTCGTAGTTGTCATAATGTTTCTCTGTTTTTGTAATCTATCCAAATCTCTACCTAATTCATCTCGTTCTTGCAATAATCTTTCCATTTCTCGTTCTGTTTCAGCTGCAGCTTGTTTTGCCAATGCTTGCTTAGTAATAGTTCTTTCAAAGGTTTGCCATCGCTGTTTCAATGCTTTTGGATTAATAGGTTTGGAAGGTGTTCTACCAGCTACTTTTTGACTAAGTCCTCTATCTCTCTTTCTTAGTGCCGATACCTCCTCTTGTTTACGTCGAAGAACTACTTCCTTCATTCTTTTATCAGCTTCTAAAGATCTAATCATATTTGCATTTCTTCGACTTTCTTTGCGTAACTGAGCAATTTCTCTATTACGTTTCAATTCATTTTCTTTATGTCTTTGAGCTTCTTCTCTCATTTTATTTAACAGCTTTACTTTAGCTCTCTTCATTTCTGCTAATTCATTTCGAAGTCCACGTAATCTATTCTCATTCTGTGATTGATTTTTAAGTAATCTCGCGTGTTCTTTTTTTGCTGATTGAAGAAGCCGCATTTCTTTCTGCATAGCAGATAATTTTTTTTCATATTCGTCTCTTAATTTTTTAACTTTCTCAGTGGGTGGTGCTGGCTGCTGTTGCAAGGAAGATAATACTTTATCTCTTTCTTCTTGTGTATCTTTGATACGCGCTTGCAATTGAGCAAGTTTGTCCTCATAATGTTGCTTCATTGTTTGTAGTCGTCTTTGAGAAAGCTCTAGTTCTTGAATTAAACGCTGCTTAACATCGATGTCCGACGTTAAAGCTTCTAATTCACGGCCCATAGCTTCTTCTTTTTCATCTTCCTCTGGGACAGCCATCATAAAATTAATATACAACATTGTTCAATCAATTACAGCATAAAACATGAATAAACATACCTTTACGATCTGAGTCATCATCTGAATCATCCTCACTAATAGAATCTTGTCCGTTTTCAGTGTCATCAATTTCTGTTTCATCCACAACTTTATTTGTAGTATTAACACTTTGCATCTGTTGCTCTTTTAAAGCAGCCAATGCTTCTACTTCTTTTTGCAATTCTTTTTTAGCATCGATTAAAACTGACGAAGAGTCACTTTGTAAGATATACGAACTATCTCCATACGGATTTGCAGCATTCACCTTCAAGCAATATTCAGTTATAAATAATTAAGGGTATAATTATATATATATATATATATATATATATAATATATAATTAAGTATGATATAATAACACACCTGCATCTGTCTCTTTTTTAATTGATGATACATAGCCTCTGCTTCCAACAAACGAGCTCGTAATTCTTCTATTTCTTGAACATATCCTTGCACCAAGCTAGTTACCTGTTCACCACTTCCACCCGATGCAGATACCCATTGCCCTGCCGCTTTCTCCGCTAATAAGAGTACATTTTTAGCAGTCAATGCCTCAACTGTTTCAGAAAGTGCTTTTACTCTTGTTCGAAGACTTTGTAATTCACTGTTTAGCATTTGATTTTCATGCCATGCATCATTCACACCATCTTCACCAACAACCCTTTTTCCTGGAAAAAAAAAAAATTACAAGTACGATAAATATTTAATTGCCTATACAAAGTGTATGCATATAGATAGATACCTTGTCTATATTCCATTAATTCTAATTGAAGCTGTTGTATTTCTCTTCTAAGAGAAGCAATTGTTCTAGAACTCTTATCCTGATTAATAGTAACTTTGTTCTTTATATTCCTTGCTCTATTTGCATATTTTAAAGTACTTAAAGTTTCCATAAAATCTCTATCACTTGGTGAAACACAAGCTATCATAACAGTTTGACTATTGCCTGCAAACATTAAATTTTATCACCAAATGTATTCTGGGTGTTCTTTTATCCATTGTATATTTGTTATTACCTCCCAAAGAATCTTGCAATAATCTAGTTAATTTTGAATCTCTATACGGTACATGCAACGCTTTCTTTGCTTTATCTCCAAGTGCAGAAATTACATTTCCTAATGCCAACTATAAAGATTCGTATAATAATATTTTGTATAATTGAAGTTATAATATGGATTACTTATATGATAGATATTGTTAACCATACCAATCCACAATTTATAGATATGCCTTCTTTTGCTCTGTCCCCAGTAGCACCTGTTCTTTTTAACCGTTCTGAACCAGCCAAGTCAACAAAATGAAATTTTGCAGTTAAAGTTTCAAATTCATTAGCTGGTTCAGTACCACTTGTATCCACATCGGCATCTGGATCTTCAACTCTAATGCATCTTTGTTGTTTCACATATAATGTAAATATTGCATGTGATCTTGATGATTGTGTATTCATTTGCGTGGAACCAGTTGTACGTGATAATGCTCCTAAACGTAGATATTCTAATGCTTGTTCTGGACTAGTTACAATTCTTGGTTCTACACCAGCCAAATGTATATTCCCAGCTGTATCTTCATGAATTCGTGCGCCACCTCTTGGACCACCTGGCTCTAATAAATCCTTTAAATCTTCATTATATAATTCTAAAAATTGTGCTGTAACCTGTTGAAAGAATTAAATATCAGTAGTAGTCCCTAATAGATAAGGGAAATAATTTTTGTCATACATATTGATATGTATTAAAATAATTAAACCTTAAATTCTGGTGGCATTTGTGTACGTTCTCGAGCACGTTCTTGCTTCTCTGCTATACCATTAAATAAGTGCCTAATGGCTCTAGGAATTATGCCGATAATATTGTCATCAACTTCTACATCAAAACCAGTGCCCATTGTATATGTTTTGCCAGAACCAGTTTGACCATAAGCGAGAACGGTTGCATTGTATCCATCCAAAGCACCTTCTACTAGACGAGCGACGCATGTATCATAAATGATGCTTTGGCCAATTCCCGTATCAAAAACATAATCATAAGTGAAGGCCTTATCTGGTCCAAGAAAGACCTGGGGTTCTCCAGGAGGTACTTGAGTACAAATCCGGCACATATCAATTACTTCTCTAGCTACTTGAGGCCTTATTCTGTAATAAATATAACATTTATGAATATATTTTTATTAAAAATTAAAATTAATAACAAAAATTTAGTAATAATATTTAATCACAAAATTAACATTTTTTATTAATTAAAAAATATGAATCATTTATTTTAACGAAGTGAATTATTATTCAATTCGTGCGTGTAAAGAAAAAATTTTTTAAATAAAACATTTTTCATTATTATGATACTAATAACATATGATATTTGTATCCGCAAGATATAAAAAAATCTATGTCCTGAGGTAAAAGTTAATAGGATGCGCTTTCTCGTAACGAAGATATACGATTACGCATATACAAGGTAAATATGTGTGTGTAATATATATATATATACATATATATATATATATATATATATATATATATATATATATTACGAAGAGAAACCTGCTGGCATGAGCCCGGCATATTATGAGGTACGAAGTATGAGGTGGGCAAGAGGGAAGAGAAGAGAGTGGCCCATTCATCGGAAATCCAGATACCTGAGCGTTTGTTATGCAGCCGGCAATAAAACCTACGCACCTGTTTCTTATAAGGAGATATTATGCGATCAAGCGATTTAACATTTAGACGATGCGTAGAAAAAATGACAACGCCTAAGATAATTCATAAGTAAACAAAGAATAGGATAAGCAGCGATATACAAATCGAATAATATATATTACATCAACAAAAATATACGCCGCCAATTATAGCATTTAGATAATATCGATAAGTTTTTCATTAAGTATATTCTTCTTTCCTAACATCATACAGGACAAATCAATATCGTGCATTATGTCGCGCCAATTTGTAGCGGACGCTACCGCAAATAGCGCAATAAGTACTGCAGAAAATTTCTGTTCTATTATTATTTTATATTTGACAAAAGAAAAAAATAAATATTACGATGTATTGCATCGTAATGACTATCTGCCTTTATTAGAGGAATGCGTAGAAAGTTTTGTTCGTAATATTCTTATCGGTATCCAGGATGTAATGAGAAAGAAAAAAAAAGAAAGCGTTGCAGGAAAGAATTATTTATTTGTAAATATTCTGTTAGTATCGGTAAAATATTTAAAGTACACAAACGTTATACGAAAATAAGTTTTTTTTAAAAAGAAATCTTCCATGTCGAGGAAAAAAAAAGAAAAAAAGAAAAAAAGAATAAAAAAGCTATAAGAAAATATGTCATTTTTCTAATTAAAAAAGAATCCAAATAAAAATAAAATAAATAAAAGTACATACGTGCTGATCTTAAGTGCATAATCTATAATATCGTATTTATAAGAATATTTTTATAAGATATAAAATGATACATCGATAAAAAGTATCCTTGGAACTGCAATCTAATATACATATATAGTACGTATGTGTTAGTAGAACGCAATGATGAATATTTGAGAACATTTATAAGCAAAAAGTTGTGCCACATAGCCTTGCAAGATTTTACATTAAAATTGATTAAACTTACCGTACAGCAACGCGTACACTCGAATCATCAGCCATTTCGATGTTATATTAAAAGCGTACAGATTTTTAAGTCTTAAAGCGATGCGTCCTTAGCGAAATCTATGAGAAAAGTAGCACTAAATTAGGCCGTATAATTTCATTCGATTCTTTTTACGTTACTTCAATGTGCTTCCTTGTCGAACGCGCACGCATTAAACGCGGCGATCGTGAAAATTCCGCATTTTTTGGGAACAACGGGCAAAATTGCGACCGCAAATTACGCTCGGACATTTCACATAACGCGAGAAAAAGTCTCTACTTCTATGTCTATGTTGGTCCAAGGACTAGATGGATCGCCAACTCGAAGAGTAGAATAATGAATATCTTCGCATAGGAGAACCAAGCTTGAACAAAGATTTTAATCACATTTTAATTCGGTAGATGACGCTGATTGACGTTATCATTTTTATTTCTATCACAACGATTGATTCTTACATTAAACTATTTCGTTTGTACTCCTACATTATTTATAAACTATGAATATGCTTATTACTCGAAAAAATATCCAGATCAAACAAACATACTTTTGTTATCGACAACAGAATTAAAGCACTAACGCCATCTTTTAGCTGATCCTTCTACTCGATTGACAAAAATACTACGCTTAATTTTTTTGATAAGTTTATACTTATAAATTATATTTATATTATTGACAAGTTATTATTAAATATACAACAATTTATTTTAAATTGCACACATTTAAAATAAGTATTTCCTCGGTTGTATTATATATTTTTTCATGAATATCGACTGTATATAATAATAGTATACAAAATAATCAAATAACTTATTTACTTCATAAGAATAGATGCATCAAATTGAATGAGATTGAATCCAATGTCTGCCTCACTTTTTTATCTTGTTGTACATTGTCAAACCATCTAGATACATGGACATATTGTGCCTTCTCTTGGTGACTTAATTCACTCTGCAACAGTAAAAGAGGATAGAAAGATTACATTGATCCGTAGCCTTTACTAAGGATTCCTAAGAGGTCAGAACCAATTTTATATTTAATTATCGCTTTTTTCTTTACCATTATTTTATATAAGGTATAATAAAGTACAATATCTGCAATGGTTTGCTTTGTACCACTTAAATAAGTATGATCACTCAATGCTGCATTTAATTCCTGTAATTAAAAGAAATGAATAATTTATTAACTTGTTATATTTCTTGATAATTACTTGGTCATTTCTATATTACCTTTAAAACTCTTTTTGCATGAGCAGGAGTATCTGCATAATTAACACAATTTATTATATATTCTAACCATTGACGCGTCAAAGCCTGTGTTTCTTTATCATCACCAAGTATGTTGGGATATCTCGAATTCTTCACCAAAGCTTGTATAAAAGTAGTAAAATACATAACGGATTCGTCTGCATGTAGATGACCAATATTTGCTACCTACAAATAAATCCAAAATTAAATATATGAATTAGAATACCTGCTAAGTTTTTTCTTTCTTTTTTAATTGATCGCAACAAATAAAATAACCATGGCTTACATTATCTTCACAGGAGCATAACTTGTCTGGAGAAACATCTAGATATTTTATAATTTTATCTATACATTCACGATTACACACAACCATCTTATAAAAAAGTTATTAAGGAAATATCGTAAAATTTTTTCGAAACAATAATATAGTGCTAAATTAAGGTTATGTTAGTCGCTTTGTAACACATTGGAACAACCATGCAGATGGCTATACTATAGCTATGTATATACACTTTTACTTTTTAAAGATTAAATTCAAAATAAGATTCAGAAATTTATTCTCTGATATAATATTTTCACGATAATACAATTCACAAATTCATCTTATTCTATACAAATAATAAATATATATAAATTAATAATGATTCTATATATTTTAATTTTATTTTTGATTGACACTAATCATAGGAAAATTTCAAAATAATATGGTACGATTGAAAATTATTATAAAATAAATAATGAAAAAGTATTTTGGATAGCATAAGTTTTATTATATGAAGATTGCTTCTTTAACCGTTACGAATAAGACACATTGGAGAACGACAAGTCTCACCTTGAGCAACCTTATCGTGTATTACGTGACCCATAATACCTTATAACTAACATGAATATTGCGGTTCTGTTCTAAAAAACTTAGTAATCCATGTAGTAAACATTATATTAAACATTTTTTTTTTCTTTCTTTTTTTTTTTTTTTTTTTTTTTTTATAAAGAATTATCATAATTATCCGCCATGGTAATTTTTTTATCATTGGACATTAGATATTAAATAATAATGGTTTAAAGTTTCCTTTTCTCCTAATACATATAATGCTAGAATATGTACTCTATATATGTAACTCTTCAGCAAGGATAAAAAGTTCATACAAACATTATACATTTACGGTTTATAACGTTAAGTACATATTTATTTTAAATGTACAGTTTTCTGTAACATTTGTATAAAATATAGATCATAAAATAAATTTAATTTAGATCTTTAAAATAACTCAAATTAGGAGATTGGCTAATTTAGTTACACAAAGCCAGATTTTAAGATTTTTATTTTTAATATTGAAGGATTTAAGCCAGATTCCAAGCTATAAAAGTATTTGTATAATTTGTAAATTACATCAAAATACATGATTAAATGTAAAATTTTGGCAAATTATAATTAGTCTTCAGCATTCCAACACATTTTTCAATATAATTTACTACTTTTTGATGTAGCAATTATATTTTTGTTCCACAAAAATCAGTCAGATTTTATATTTTATAATATTTAAGTATAATTAAATAATTTTCAAATTCATATTTCTAAATATGCAATATTTCAAGTAAAAATAAAAATTCAATATTTTCTTGTATGAAACAATTTTGTTCACATACTTTAGAGTTATGAATTAGAAAAATTAAAAGAAAACTAATACTACGGAAAGATTAAAAGAATCACATGTTTACATAATGTTTTTCCTAAAGGAAATTATGCTATATTTACAGATGCTATAATTTGTAAATAAAAACAATGATGTAAAAACTAAAATATTAGCTTTTTTAGTTAAAAAAAAAAAAAAAATATCAACGTACTTAATTTGAGAGATTTTTCTTAATAATGAATGTACAAAGTACATGTAACTGGTCTGCTTTATGAAAAATTATTTATAAAAACAATATAATATAAACGTGTTACTTAATTACAATGTTTTATCAATACCAATAAATACATATCAGCAATTTACAATAGTCAACCAATAAAATAATCAACAATAATCTATTTTCAACTTTTTAGAATTTCTTCGTACATTCTATCAGTACTTAAATGTACTTACTCAAATATACAAAGATTGCCAACAAGATTACTATTGAAAAAAAAAAAGAAAAAAAAAAAAAAAGAAAAAAAAAAGAAAAAAAAAAAAAGAAAAAAAAAAAGAAAAAAAAAACGATAGAACAGAGTTCATATTAACATCTTAAAACTTAGAAAGGTTTAAGCTTTCAGATGAAGAGATATTCTTTCAGATTTTTCCTTGTCACAATACAACATAATATATCTAATTAATAATATTAACACAAACTTATTGCTATGCTTCATTCATCGTTAATAAAATTGTATTTTTATGAATAATAAAATATAGTAAAACGCATGAATAAATCCATAACTATTAGGTCGTAAGATAAATAAGTATAAACGCTAAGTGAATATAAGCGAACTTATTTATATTACGACCTAATATATTAATATATAACAGCATTTTCAATACCCATAGTAGTCATATGCAGTTAAATGCAGGTACTTTTGTTGTATACATATCTCTTACGAATTACATGTTCAAAATAGACGTTTTTCATAGGAAAACAGACTATGGACATTTCCCTCTTGCTGAGCAGAAGACGTTCTTCTCTCAAATTTTAATTCACCACTATACGTCATGGATCTTAAAGTAGACATTGATTTTGCACCAATGTCTTGACATCCGTGTTTTATACCACATAATAGATAAGGAACAAATTTGAAAACTGATCCCTTGTCCACTATTGAACCACTTACACCTTGAGCTACTTTTAATTTGTCCATTTCATTGTGAAAATATCTATCCATAGCAGAACCCTTTGCATCAGCCCTATTCATGGCTTCTAAAGAACCCATCCCTCTGTATTTCTTTAAACGAACTCCATCACTGAAGAAATATTCACCGGGTGCTTCTGTAGTTCCAGCTAATAATGATCCCATCATAACGCTCGATGCACCTAAACTAAGACCTTTGATAATGTGGCCAACAGATTGTACACCACCATCTGCTATAACGGGTATTCCAAATCTCCTTGCATACTCTGCTACTTTATAGACAGCGGTAGCTTGCGGTCTACCTACTGCCATTACTTCTTGAGTAATACAAATAGATCCAGATCCCATACCCACGCGTAATGCATCAGCTCCTGCTTCTATCAAATTTTTAGCTTGTAAAGTAGTTACTACATTGCCTGCAATAACTTGCAAGTCCGGATATTCCGATTTAATGTATTTTATCATTTCAATTTGGTATATTGAATTTCCTTGAGATGAGTCTAATACAACTACATCTACACCGGAAGCTGTTAAAAGCTGTAATCTTTGTTTATCAGAACTACGTGTTCCAATTGCAGCACCTACTAATAATTGCTTATTTGCATCTTTACTAGCACTTGGGTAGCTGCGATTTTTCTTTAAATCAGTTCTTGCCATTAATGAAACAAGTTCTCCTTTTTCATTTACTATAGGAAGTTTTCCTTTCTTTGATTTCTCAAGAATAACATTAGCTTCTGGCAATGTTACACCAGCTTGTGCAGTGATCAGATTATCTAATTTTGTCATTATTGATTCCAATTTTGTATATCTTTGATTAAGCGAATCTTCAAGGAAATCAATATCTCTGGAAGTAACAATGCCTAGAAGTTTACCACCTACTTTTCCATTATCAGTGATAGGAATACCAGAAAACCCATGTTCACTTTTTACATTTAATACATCATTAACAGTATGCTGAGGTGAAAGTACAACTGGATCTCTAATGAAACCGTGTTTATACTTTTTTACCTAAAAAGATATATAAAATTATCTACAATCAAAAAATAGAGAATGGTTAGAAAATTTTATTATGTTCTGAAGTTAAAGAGAAATTGTAAAGAGTATTACTTTAAGAAAAAAAATAGAAATGTAAAATATATTTTATCGCATACCTTATGGACTTCGTTGGCTTGATATTCAGGCGTGCAATTATGATGTATTATACCGATTCCACCACACAGAGCCATGGCAATTGCCATATCCGATTCCGTAACAGTATCCATTGGGGAGGAAACCAACGGAGCTTTCAATACAATCTTCTTAGTAAGCGGTGATAATAAATCTACCTCATCTGCGGTAAAATCAATATATCCTGGCAAAATGATGAAATCATTATATGTAAGTCCATCGCCGTTGGCAAACAGTTGTGCCAGCGAAAGTCCATCTTCCGGCAACGGTACGTCTGCCGGTATCGTGTCATTAATTATATAGTCAGCCATTATCTTAAACGTATTCTTTCGATCTTTCAAACTTAAGAAATACTGATTAGTGTATCGTAGATTTTCTTCTTCCAACGTGGATCACCACTATGATTCGAAGAATAAACGTCCGCGTTCCGAAAAATATACTCCCCGATAACCTGGTAAAATGACCGAAAAACATGTGCGTACGTCTCTTATATACCTGTATGTTCTCCCGCCTTCAAGATGGCGCTATAGAACCTTCCGAAAATATACGAAGTTCACCGAAGTTTATACGGTTACGGCTACTCCCTTCTGCGATTAATAGAAAGATTCCTATATAGTTACGTATTTTCTAGTGGAAAAAGTATTACTAATCCTTAAGGCTGAGAAAAATTTTAGAGAAAAATTAATGAACAGTCGATAGGTGTTTAGTAATTCAAGAGGAAAAACGCTCTTACATTTCAATTGTTTTGTTTTCTTTATTTTATTACAAGTCGTGCTCTTCCTTTTTTTTTTTTGGTTCTTTAAATCATCTATTTGGAAAATTAAAACAGGTCTAGTTTATTTACATTTATATTATAGAATATTTATCAAGAACTAATCAAATTTTTTATTATACATATATAAAAGAATCTTTATATAAAATTAACAAAATATATCAAAATACTTTTCGTTTTACAAACGTTTCATTTTTCATTTTGTATATAACGAAATAATCATTAGTAAGAGATTAAGATATGCTGTTACATTTCCTACAGGCACGCTGAAAATTACAAAAATCTACAGAAATTTTAATAACTTATTCTTAATTGTTATATATGCCACTATGTATTATCATAAAATTCTAACGATCAAAAGGTAAAATATGTGCTTTATATATTTTATAAACATTCTTGAAAATTAATGTTTTTTGTTAAGTCTTACCGGTTGGAAAAAAATTCTATAAAATGTATTAAAGAAACTATTAAGAGCTCCTTTAAAGGATGAAATCACATAATTTATTATGAGTTCAATATACGTGAAGTCCTCATAATCATCATAATCTTCATAAAAGAAGTAATCATAGATCATAGGTAAGAATACAACCAAAGCATACATTATAGTACCAAAAAATACTGAAATCAAATGTATTTTTCAAGTATTTTTTAGAATTTATCTTATGTAAAATATTACACACGCTTACCAATGGTTTTTAATTTTATAAATCGTTTTTCAATACATTTTTCCTTCTTATGTTTAACTTTATGTATAAATGTAGACGATGTAATAGAATTTTCATAAATATCCGCAGCTATCTTAGAAGGCATGTTTTGTACGATTTTATTTTGAGTGCCTCCTCCAGTCGGATTTAAAGGTAGCCTAATATTTTTATTAACATATAATTGCTTTGTTTGTGTTGTATCACTTGAGCGTCGCAGAGTGGAATCCCTAAATAATATTGATTTATATATGTATCTACATAACTATTTATTTGTGTCCATATACGAACATGCATAATGTAAAACTTACAGATTTTTATTAATTATACTCGACAAGGCCGAACATTGTTCTATCGTTTGCATTTCTGGATTGAATTTTCCTTCTTCGTTATAAATATTATTACAAAATGCTTTGTTTTTTCTTCTTTTAATATAAGGAGTTTCTAACGCCACTTTATGAAAATATTTTTCTTGTATATTTTCTATGTTGCCTGTTTTTTGTTTTAAATTATTATAGTATTCTAGATAACTTTTATTTAATAATTCTTGTGTTTTAAGAGATATTTTTATAGGACTTTCAATAGAATTATTTTTTTCTAATCTTTCCAAACTATTATATTTATTTTCCTCTTTTTGCTGGCAGAATACATCACAAGACACAATAGGATTTTCAACTAAAGATTTTATTTTAATGCAATCCGTATTTATATCTTTCTTCCTTTCATCTTCTTCTTTCTTTAACATTAAGTAATGGCAATTTTTTTCTTTTGTACATTGTTCAACTTTTGAAAATTTTTGACCGTGTTTACAATTTGTTCGCTGATAGCCTGGCCATAATAAAGTGCAATTAGAATTTACTATTCCGGATTTAGATTTTTTTTGAAAGCAAAATCTTGCCTTTTTTGAAAAATTCGCTATTTTTCGTCTTCGCCTGGTTGTAATATATGGTTCTGAAGATTGAAAGAGCTTTTTAATATGTATATTTTCTTTTTGCAATAAATTCTGTTCAGATCTTATTTTACGCCGTTGACTTAAAGTAAATTTTTTTAAATTTGGAACTTTGGTAGATATATAAGGATTTGAATCATTGATTTCTGTTGGCTGTTGATGCGATATAACATTCATATGATCGTTAGAACAATTAAAAGTATTATTATTATCAACGGAAATATAGATTTTATCATTGTTTGGTAAAGAGTTAGTTTCATAATAATTTTCTTCAACTGTGGGCTGCTCTGAAGTTCTATCCTCTATTTTCTTATCTAAAATAAGAGCTTCTTGTATATCTGTAGTATTAGTGTTCTTAGTATTTACTATTTCATGTTTTTGTTGTAGACTGTTGAAATTTTGTTTTTCTAGCGATAATGCATGAACGTCTGAATTTTTATGTTTCATTTTAAATTGCGTAGTTCCGGATAAGTCAGTTATTGGCAAAGTACTTCCAATACAAGGGGATATATTGATGTCCCCTGACGTACAAGTTGATATTTGTAGAGGTATATTTTGATATGTAATTATTGGTACTTGTACATTGTAACATTGTGTTGTATACTGAGGTATAGGACTAGGTATTTTGTTAAGAGGTAAAGATTGTACTTTCTTTTTCATTACAAGTAAAATTTGACCATCGGATTCCTAAATAAATATAAAATTTGCTTGATTAAAATGTCAAATTATTGACTTATAATCTATCACTACTTACATTAGCAAAATTTATAAAGACGTTAATAAGATACATAAATCGCATAAATACTGAATGTATTAATACATACATTAGCAGATTGTAATGATTGATTTTCCGATAGCACACTTAAATCATTCTTTGTTTTAGTTTCTAATATACAGTTCTCATTATAGGTAGAGGTTGATATTTGTTCACCTATGGATATTTTCTTTTCTATGATATTTTTAGTTTTTTCTGAAATGGGATCAACATTTTCTTGGATCTCTATAGAATCTATTTTACTTATATTATTTATATTGGTAAGATTATTTGTATTATGATCCTTTGCTAGATTGAGTTTACATTCTAATTTATTGTTATCTTCCACATTACTTTTTTTATCTCTGTCTAGTTTTTGCACGAAATGGCTATTATTATTTTCAATGATCTCTTCATTTTCTGGCTTCTTTATACTTTCTTGTGCTATCTGATGGCTATATAAAATATATATTTTAGATGCCACGAAGTTTGTTGTAAAACCTACTGTTATAATTACAACCAAAATTAAATATTTCTTATTAATAATTAAATAAATTGTACATATTTGAGTTTTTTCCAGAAGCAGTTTTCTTCACGATTTCACAGGGAGATAGTGATTGTTCTAAGATAAAACCACTCTGTCGTGATTCTTTCGAAGTATTATATCGTTTAATAGATTCTATTGGTGTAGTCTGATTTTGAACTGCAGTTACACTATAAAATAATAGTTCAATAAATTATTTTATAAATGCAAAACATCCATTTTGTATATTGTAAAACATTATACCGCTTAAAACGAGGATCTAAAGAACCAGATTTCCTTTTTATTGTATTAACTGGTAATGTTAATTGATGTGCAGAAGAATTAAAACCTTTCATTTCCATTGTTTTGAATGATCTATAATTTTAAAAGAATCCCTAACATGTATTTTGTACCTTTATAAAATCTTATGATAATTATGAGATTATTTTTGTAACATATCACTTACTGACATTGTGGTGTGTGTACTGTAGTACGACTTCTCCTAGGTGTACCTGTTAATGTAATAACACATGGAGGATGAATTATGTCATCAGCATCATCTAATAATTTACGTGGTGGAATTTTTGGCCATGATGGATCTTCAGGTACTCTAAATTTATGTCAAAACTTTGTTAACATATATTAAAAACAAAACATAGGTTTATCTTACTTACCTCAACGATCCAACATTGTATTTTTGTGAAACTGGTAATAAATTTTCACTGTTTACTACAGTAAAATATATTAAATAGAAATATTATTGCAATATAACTTGTGACATTATTTTGTTCTAACATATTTACCTTTAATATTTAATTTAAGTGCACTTTTGTCATCAAAACATGACATATTAAAATAATCATACATTTCACAATTACTCTCTTTAATTTAAATAAACTTCTTTTTACTTCCAAAGTTAATGTAACAGTAATACAATAAAAAATGAAAAATTATGTAACCACGTATATTGATCACATTTTTTTCTATTGATATCCTTGCAGTACACTTAATTCTTTTTCTTTTGTTTTTTATGAAAACATGTTTTTAATATTTACACGTATATCTATGTAGAATATTTTTAATTTATAAATATATATTATAAAAACATTGTTCATAATTTTTGTCATTTATATGAAAAATTGAACAGAAAGAAGACTTAAGAATTTTAAGAAAAGAATTCACTCTCGTTGTGATAATCGTAATCATGGGTATCCCGTTAGAATTACTTTCACTCGCACAACGGGTGACGTATGTATGGTCAATCAGTTATTGTTATTGGAAACCTTAATGCTTAAAACGATTCATAATTTAAAGGATAGTATTATAGTGCCAAAAGTGGGTAAATCTATGACTTCGACAGGAAAGAATTAATATTGAAAATAATAACTTATATGCCCGAGATAATATGTATATACATAATGAGATTCAATGTAATCAAATATACATGCATATATATATATATATACATATATATATATATATAACATATCTATAATTATTTTTATATCCGTTATAATTGTTTATTGCGTGTAAAATTATATGATTACATATGTATATTACATATATATATATATATCACTTGAAATATTGTTATAAACAAGGCCATATATAATAATAGTATTTGTTATATATTATACAATCATACGATGATACTGGTATTGTAAAATATGAACGGGTAGACAGATAAACAATAAGACATGTGAAAAGAAAGACTTGGAAAAGATTATTCTGCCAGGTGTTACTATTATTTTTCACTGTACACCAATCATATGCATACAGTCCGAAGTTATAACTCCAGTTTGTCAATTCATACTTTTAAACGGTCACTTCAATATTTACTGTCCACTGTTTACTGCCATTTGCTATCCGTTATCGCTGTCATTATTTGCTCTGTTCTACCACATGACCTACAACGCATATAGTACGTATAATCCAGGTTTTTTGTATATATATATATATATATATATATATATATATATATATTTTCATGTCGTTATATATGGTATTTACGAATGAGAATATATTTTCGTTTAAGCGCTTGACTACTAGATGGAGCTCAAAATCTTAATAACAATTGATTGAAAAATATTGAGATTATATGATTATACCTGTAATCGTCAATAATTATTAAAATCTAATTTATAAGCTTTAATGGACATCGATGTCATGTAATTTTTCATATGTATGTTTATATGAGTTTCCTTTTTACTTTTTCTTTTTTACTTTACGTTTTTTTGCCTTTTATCCTGATCGAAAAAATAAATAATTCACTTCGTAATAAATCGGTGAATATCTTTTATATGCGGATAATTTTATGATCGCATATGAAATCACGTGATGCCGTATTTAGAATATATCTATGTAGTTTATCAAGTACGATAGTGTACGGTGGGAAATTGGCGCGAAGCATTGTAGAATGCAACAGGAGGGGAAAAAGGTTCGAACGTTTGAAATAAGAGTAGGGATAAGGTTGAAACGATCAGGGATAGAAAGAGAAGATTGATAAAGGCATGTGTTAAGGACGGCACGCATAACAGATATATATATATATATATATATATATATATATATATATATATATATATATGTATATAACATACGTGTGTATACATAGATACAAAGCAGAAGTCAGCCAATCAGAACGGCGAAGGGAAAAAGGAGGCTGCAGCGCTTCATATGCTATTTCTGTCACGTAGAACGCATACATTTGTTTTGTTGCGTACAAACGTAAATTGCGTACTTATATCAAGTTATATTTAATTTCTAACCAGTAATATTGTTTAAAAGTGACATATACATAAAAGTATAGGAATCAATTATTTTTAGAAAAAGAAAAAAAGTGATTATCCTTGACGGTGATCGTGATTATTTTACCACTTAGTGACAACAATGTCCGTGATTATGGATTGTTTTCAACAGTAGCGGACGTACGAAGTTTTATCTGTTTCGTTAAAGCAATTTTGGTTTTTAAACCATTTGACTCCTCCTTAATATCCATTTTTTTGATTCAGCTTCGCGTTTGTGGGCTATTCAGGAAAAAAGAACAGAAAAAAGGCAAGAGATAAGTTCCCCCTGAGACAATCAATTGGCGTTTTGAACTGTCTTTTTTGTATTCTTCATATCAGTACACGGGAGCAAGAACTGAATTCGTTCAACCTACTGTTTCGTTTAAAGCCCTATCCTCGATTTAAATCTATAAAGGGTACCTAAGTCCACCTCTAAATCTTTCATCAGTGATTTGTGATGTACAAGTTCAGTGCCGGAGGAAAAATTATTACCTCTACAATTAATTTCGTACATTCAAAAAGGAAAGGAATTTTTATACACCTAAGAAACATGAACAGAAACTCAATAAGTCTTCGAAGTCATAGAAGTTTTTTAACATTTCGTTTATATTGAATTACTTGATTGAGTTATTGAAAAGCAAATCAAGTTTGATAGAACAGAAAAGTTATTGCGCCAAGATGGTGCAGCACGAATGATCTAACACCGTGTTGTTGTTGAGGGATGCACAATAAGTCTCTAGTACAAAATTACTGTTTTTACATAACACAAAGAAAACCAGTATTGTCATAATGAAATTGCTAGAGAGTACACGATTTGAAGCTATAAACAGTGCCTTGTTCATTAAGACCGGAGATAGCAAGATAATTGGAAGGTATGCCAAACAAAATATGATATAAATGTATTATTAGAATATATCAATAGTGACTGCCTTTTTACTTATAGGATTGAGAGTTATTCTTGTAAGATGGCAGGAAATGATAAACAACTGTACAAACGCTTCAATGCAGAGCAAGGAGTTACACCACATGACCTTCAAGCTTTATCGCCACCACAAACATCTTTGGGAACATCACCTGCTCAAAGATATTTTAGGTATTAATATGGCATAAGTACACTCTGTTTACTTGAAAGTTAATAAGTTAATATTATTTCTATATTTATATATTTAGTCGTAGTGTTTCTGGTGATGAAGATGGACCTTTATGTGATACAATAAGCAGGAAAACATTATTCTATCTGATTGCAACTTTAAACTCAGCCTTTCATCCTGATTATGATTTTTCTGATGCTAAGAGTCATGAATTTAGTAAAGAACCAAGCTTACAGTGGGTAATGAATGCGGTTGACAGTAATCTCAGTGCAACTGCTGGAGATCATTATCGTACTTTACGTTCTGCTCTCTGGGGTGCTATCGACGATGAAATATCATTGAGCGAATGTGATATTTATAGGTGAGATTACACGAAGATGGTTTCTCCTATTCAGCAAAAATGAAACACGAAACAGAGCACAAACCTACAACATTACTTCGGGTACACATACACAAGTAATATAATATGTAAAAATATTGTAGCTACAATCCAGACTTTGCATCAGATCCATTTGGAGAAGATGGATGCCTGTGGTCTTTTAATTATTTCTTTTACAATAAAAAAATGAAGCGTATTGTCTTTTTCACGTGTAGGGCAATTAAGTAAGTATAACATTTGTTTTGAATATATGTATATATATATATATATATATATATATATATATATATATATGTATATACAGGAACATATCACATATATAATTTCGTACATTACGTTTCAGCCCTCTTTATGTATTAGATTCAGGCATAGGTAGTGACTTTGTGATGGACGAAGAAGATGAAGATCGTTATTAGATCTTTTATATACGATCACAGTTTGCAACAGTTAAAACTTTACATTTTCTCTTGATAGATTATTATTAATTTCATGTATTTTTTGTATGTACAACTTTTTACATTCAGTTTATAATTTAAGATTATGTGTGCGTGTATGTGTGTATGTATATATGTATGCATATATATATATATATATATATATATATATATATATATATATATAAAATTGATTTGGCTTTACATTTCACATGATATATTTATTATATATTTTTCTTTCATTTGAACAAGCATGTGTACGCACTGACAATGTACACGCAGTCTGTCATCTATTGTACATACAATAGTTTGATTATTTTATTTTTTAGTGAAATGTGACAAATATTAATAAAGCCTAGTCTGTTTTTTAGACAAGGATCTTACCATTTTTCCTACTAGGAAATGCATCTGATTTTCTTTAGAAATTTTTATGTAACATTCTTTTTTGTTATCCAATGTGATGAATTACCTTATAGCTTAATTAGATCTCACAAACATAAAATGTTGTGATTAATAATTAATTCTATTATGCCAATTATGCTCTAATAATTGTAATTAAGCTTTCTGGATGTGCAATATCTCAATATAGTGCACTTTCATTTTAATATAAGTAGCTATATCAGATTTTATTTAATAGAATCTACAAGATAAAAACAAATTTTTGTTATCAAATTTAAGTGTATATATGATAAAAAATATCAAAATTTTATGAAAAGTTTAAATCAGTAGTTCACAATATCCTTCTTAGTGGAAAATTCATAATTATGCTTTATGAAGCAATGATAGTTAATTTACGGAATAATTGATGTCAAGTAACCATTTTATCATTGTCCTTTACTTACAATTACATATCAATATTACATATTCCATAATGACGTATTAAATTTGGGCATCGTTACTTTCTTAGTGTAATGATAAATTTGATATTAGGTAGGCTGATAAATGCTGTGAAACAGGATAAAACATATCTATTCTTCTTAAGGTTATAGCTTTTGAAAGCTATAGTAAATTCTATTATTCACTTTGCCAAATTACTTACCAATACACAAAGCGTATTTTGTATTATTAACATATATTTCATTCTAGTATGTACTGTATTTTTTTTTCTTTCTTTTTTTTTTCTTCCTTTCTTTTATACAGCTTAATATAATTGATTTGTAGGAAAAATCCGAAAAATTACTATATGTACAACATTTAGAAATATATAATTACTTCAATCTTTACTTTATACTGGACAATATGTTTATCTGTCACTTTTGAAATAAATATTTCAAGAAGATATAAATGTACTATAATGTTTGTTATCCAAAAAGAATATAAAATTATATGATGAAGTATAAAAATATTAAATTATACGATTTCCAAAGGATCAGCATCAACGATAGATACATTAACATTTACAGAATTATTTAATCTATTTGATAACGTTGATGCAAAACTTTCTAGGAAACCACGTTCAGAATTAGAATGATTTGTTACAATAACATAAATCCCATTATGAATAGCGTCAAGCACATCGTGATGTTGCATCTCTCCTGTAAGATATAAATCGGCTCGTACATTTTTTAAAACACTTATTCCTGATCCTGCACATACAGCGACAGATTTGATAAAGCCATCTGAAAAAAATAATAAATACTTATAACTTTATCATGATTTCAATTAAATTTTATATATAACGCTATACCTGACTGTGAAACAGCACGAGCTAGTTGTAAAGATTTCAACTTGGTGTGCTGTTTTACTAAGTTTACTGCCTCATCAATATGTATTTCATTTTTTAAAGTGCACAGACGACCCATACCATTTTCTTTGTTCTCACCTGGCTGTATAGGTTTACAACTATCCATCACTGTAATCACACGTTATGGATAATAGTTAATTAACAATGTTATAATGATATAAAAGTATTATAAAAGTATTATATTTTTAACCATTATTGAAAGCTGAAGCCAACCAGTCATTTACACCTCCCTTTATTGAATCAAATGCAGTATGTGTAGAATATACAGCTATTTTATGCTCTAAACATTTTGCGATTATACGTTCCTGTAAAAATAAAAATAAATTAAAAAAATGAAATAAATCTTATTCGTAAAAATAATTACGATATTTTCGTTACCTTCCATGTTCTCGTGGTTATAGATTTAAATGGGTAAAATATTGGAGGATGATATGATATTATCATATCTGTCGACAGGCCTAATGCTTCATTCATAACATTTTCTGTTAAGTCGTTTGTTAACAAAATGTTTGATATAAGTTTTGGACATGAAGGTTCAACCAATAATCCAACATTATCCCAAGGTTCGGCCAAAGATGTATTTGCAAACTTTTGCAATGCGTCCACAATTTCTTCCAATGGTAAACCAATTTTACTAGGTTTTATATCAGTCATAGTAGGTATTTGCTTGTTATGTCGAATCAATGTATAAAAGCACAACTTCTGATTTGATACAAATGCACGCAGTCTCAGCAACATCTATTTCCGTATAATCGCAAATCTAAAATAAAAGCATCCTTTTTTTGTCCATGCAAATATTACATTTGTAATATTAATGAATCAATATATTATATTATTTTTCAATATTATACAAATAATATAATAATGAAAATATAATTTTATAAGTAAAGGGTATAATAATGCAAATGTTTACATTAATAGTAAACAATTATATTTAAAAATATAAATTACATAGGTAATAACAAATTTTATATTACTAATTATATATTGATACAATACACATTTCATTCATTATAAAACCATATTTTAACTAGGCCATCATCGCTAGCTGATGCAATTTGACCAGCAATAGCAGGATTCCATTGAGTAGAATTTACATCCTGTGTGTGTGCATTATTCATTGAACAAATCATAGAAAAAGTTGGTTCATGTATATCAGAATCACTTTCTTCTTTGAATATTCTGATAATATCATCCCCGCATGCAGTTACAATCAATCCAGTTATCTTGCACCAATCCACATCATAAATTGTTCTTGTATGATATCCGGACAAAGTGCAAACACATTTCCAAACAGAATCATTATTTGCGGTAGAAATTCCTATTGTATTTCCAGATTTGTATTCTTGCCATATTTTTACAGTTTTATCATCACTGACCGTAACCATACGTTCACCAGTTTTATCAAAGGAAAGACTCCAAACTGTAGATGTATGAGAAGTTAATGTGTGTATACATGTCCAGTCACTGTCGATCATGTCTTCTTTGTATATTTTAACTGTGTTATCATAGCTAGCGGATGCAAGAACGTCTTCATTAGGATGCCATCTTACCTATATAAAAAATAAATGAAGACGAATGTGTAGATTAAATGAGATTTTCTTTTTTTCTTCTTAAAAAGTATACATAAGGGACAAAAAAAAAAAAAAAATGAGAAAAATATTAGGACTATAATACTTACCTTTTTAACATCTTGAGTATGTGCATTAATGACTGAAGCACACTCATATTCATCATCTTTTGCTTCCCATATCCAGACGGACTTGTCACGACTACATGTTGCAAGTAAATGTCCACTAGAAGACCAACTAACACTTTTAACTTCATTTTCATGTCCTTCCAATGTCGCATTGCATTCAAATTCTCCAGATCTTCTATCCCATATTGCTGTTGTAGCATCAAAACTAGCAGAAGCAATATAACTACCACAAGGAGACCAAGCAACTTCTCTAATGGTCCTTGTATGACCCTCAGTTAAAATCATAGTTGTAATCCAATTCGAATTTGTTGCTTGCCATATTCTAATGGTCTTATCTTCCCCACATGATGCAAGACACGTGCCTTTTGGATGCCAACAAATGCTCCAAACTCTTCCACGATGTCCACTTAAATTTTGCTTTAATTCTAAGCTTCCCATTGTTATCTGAAATAAAAAAACTTTCCGGTTTATAAAGTATTGCACTTCTATCATTCATTAATTATTAATAATATATTTCTTTTTTTAATTAATCGTATATTAAAATACATTTCTTACTACTTTACACGAGGAATTAGGCATATTTTACTAATGTATCATATAATCTTATATCAAAAAGTCAACAAAATAACAAATAAATTATTTCATATTTGACTTACTTTTTTTTTAGTAGTAATCTTGAAACAATGTTGATCACAAAATCTATTAAATCATTTATCACAAAAAGTGCACATTTTCCTGCATTTATATAATGTTCACACGTCCTTACGCGTAAATAAGACATATTAATAATTATTAACACGTTAAAGGCAAAGACGTAAAAAATTTACATGTAATATAAGTTACATCGTCGTAATATAATATATAGAATGTGTAACAGGTCAATTAATGCAGAAGAGAAGATAAGGTAATAAAAACATTACCTTTATGCATAAATAGTATGCTACGTGTACATAACCATTAAATTAATTTATCGAAAGAAATATCGAAGTAAAATAATCATAATAAATTTACGATGGGTTTAACGAATTAATATTAATATTATAATTTTCGCAACACTTACCATAAGAGAACTTTGAGCATTGAAATATTGATTATTTTAAAAACATCGAATGAGAATCAAAGCTCATATTCAAATCACTCTGACCATATGCACGTGTAATCATACGTAAATGTAGATGGAAATATGAAATACATATGTAGATGAAGATATAAATTATCTCAAGAAGATATACATTATATTAAGAAGATAAGGTAAAGAAAAATGAAAATAAGCAGAGACAGAGAAAAGTGCTCACCGCCTTTCGATCGCAGCGTATATGACTTTAGCGACAGGTACGGACAAAATATGAACTAAAAGCGCGATAGATAAACAACTATTGCGTCCTTCGTATCAATGTTATACATTTCTATAGGTGATAACCTAATGTCTCTCGTGTGTACATTATTTCCAAGACAAACATTAGGACAAACGACTGAACGATATATTTTTATTATAAAATCATCTCTCTAAAGCTCATGCAAAATATTTGAATGAGTTACCGCTCCATGCAAGCGAAACGCACTTCCTTACGTTTGGAATGGATTAGACAATCTGCGTCATACAAGGAAGCCATTAATTACTTCACGTAACAAGCGCCGCAACACACAAATGTTTATCTGAAAATCAGTAGTGAGGATAGAAACTTCTTCTCTTTTGTCGCAAGGGCGCCAGGGGGCGTCTGCATACTATATGAAACTTTTCTTTCACGAAAAATGTCAACAACAACGTTTACGCCAACAGTGAGTCCATTGTTGATCAATTTTAATGAATGAGTTATTTCGGATTTAATCTAGAATCCCAATTTTGTCGATAAAGCTTTATTTTCTTCGAAAGAAACCTTACAAAACGCTACTTTTTTTTATATGATTTATTGTAGTCGCCCGCGTAGCAATGAAGTAATCGAGCGTTTACATCGTTAAAATAAAAACATCATATAGTATATGTTCGTTCGTATTTCGTCATTTAAATAACAAAGTGTTTTTGCATCGACTGATGTGCAATGCAGTCGTTAGAGTCAGTGTTTGTCCGCAAAGTTTATTGCTTTTTTAAATATTCGTACAGATTGTATATTTATAAAAGATAGTAGAATTTTGCGAATTAACTTCAGTGACCGTTCGTTAAAAAATAACTCTTTTCTTCTTTTCCAAGGATCATCGAGGGATAGATTCTTCTGCGATCGGATGAGTATCGTCTGATGATGTATCGTCGAATAACTCGATTCATCGTCCAATTTATATGCGACAATAACGAATAAAGGCTCAAAAATACTTTGTTACAAAGTTATAAAAAAAAAAAAAAAAAAAAAAAAAAAAACAAAGAAAATAGGAAACAACAAATTGGTTTTCATTCGATTATACTATATACGTATTATAAGACATTAGTTATATTTATCTAATCTATTTACACAAGGTATATTTAGGTGTTTTGTACTAAAGTTAATTTATCATCAATCCCTTTTTTTTTTTTTTTTTTTTTTTTTTTTTCCCAAAGTATACACTCTCTATCAGATCACTTCACTGTCACGTCCAATTGCATTCCATCGTCATCATCTTCATCGATACTTATGCGAGGATACACTTAATTGTACTGTTTCTAATCATGCATTTTAACTCATAAATACGTGTATAAAAGTGTATGTATATCCTATGTAACACAATATTGGAACATAACTTAGATATTGCAGAACGAACAATGTTACACTTGAAATTTCTTTATTCTTAAATTAAAATGTTACATTTGCTACAAACATTTTTGGGTGAAAATTGTATTAGATTTGAGTTATAAAACTTTAAAAAGATTTCTGCCTGTGAATGAATAACGATGTACATACGGCGTTTTAATATTGTGCTTATAAGAAAAGTGAAAAGATGCTAGTAATTCATAATTTCATAGTGAAAAAGTCTTAAAATTTCGATTTCTATATAAAATGATTACATTAGAATTATTATATTTATATTGGTATAATACTGTGATATAATCGTACACAAATTATTATTTAAAAAGTATATTTCTAAGATCTTTAATTAACCATCGACCACCCATCGAATGTCGGCCAATTTTCCATGATATCAATTCAAACTTCAATGTAGTTTTTATATCCTGAAAAAAATACTCTAACAGAGTGTCCAAAATATTGAATTAATTTGATTTATCAAAAATTGTAGAATCACACAAATTAATTATAATGCATTGGCTTCGATTTTATCGTTCGCTTTAACATTTTAAAGTTATATTATCAGTAAAATAAATACAAATGATATTTCGTAAGAATCATTGCGCAACAAGCTACAAATAATCGAACATCTTTATACACGCCGCTGTTATATGTTGAATGCAAATTGCAATCAATATATAGTATAACTATTTATTTATGAATGAATGTATGTTTATATTTATTCAATATATAATATGTAAAGTATAACGTATATATATATATATATATACACACACACACATATATATATATAATGTACAATATACAGTACACATTATATATCGTATGTATATGCGGTATTTATTATTAATGGAAATAATATAGATTTATAAAATATATTATGTAAATACATATATACCTAGGTGTAGAATAATATAATGTAATTATAAACATATAAACAATGTATTTTGATATTTGGTATAGATGATTTTTTTTATGTAAGAATGAATATTGATGAATTGCCATTGCACATGATACATGAACATTCGAAAAAACAATAATATTTTTGACGAATTTCTTACCGTGATGTGTATATACAGGATAATTAAAGAACACCCATTATTCATGTTATAAAATATAAAAGTTCCCTAACGAAATTGTATAATCATAAGCCAGAGCGTGTACCTGCTACATATATGTGTCATACTATAGAAAAATAATTCCAGTGTAACAGTTTTGTAATTTAAGTAAAATTTTTAAATTGCATAAATATCTACCGTCACACATATATCGCAAGGGTTTTAATTTTATACATAGTTCTTTCTCATTGCTCACACAATTGCTTGGTATATTACCATAATACTTTATAAAAATATTAATTTTATCACATAAACCTACTTTTGAAGAACATCGAATAACATGAATTGTATGCCATCAAAAGAAAAAAAATATATTAAGAGCCTTTACTAACCTCACCGAGGATTTACTAAATTAAATTGAAAAAGAGTTTCAATAGATATTAATTATTTCTTTAATGCAATTATATCTTCACGATTATAATTCGCCTTGATTCAACAAGCATCGTTTGTATTGATTAGCTTTTAATAAATTAACCGATAAGCAATTTTATATCAATAAAAGAAATAATAAAAGAATGGCTAGACAAAGAAATATAAGAATATTTCTTTAGAATTTATTGCATGTTACGTTTTTCTAGCCTGTAATTTCGATTGTCAAACTCGTTCTAGCGTCGAATCGCAGGAACATAAGCCTATTAAACAAAAAGGGACTTTTTGTCTTTAAGAACTGTGAATATATTATTAATTGGAAACAGACAGCTTATTAATGTACATTCATGTATATAGATGTTGGCTATTTTGTATCTCAATACATAATACATTTTCTATTTTGGCTTTACAAGTGAACGTAGTACACATTATATTGATTGGCGAATCTCATTTAAGTTTCTATTTCCATATAGCACAAATTTTGTCACTAATAATCGTTTATATGAACATATCCTAAAAGGGAAACATGCGTTATGATTTTTTGACTTTTTTGTTTTCTACTAATCAGATAAAAATGGCTGATCTCAGTCAAGAGTACATTGTCTAATTATGCACTATAACTTTAATTACGTATGCACTTACATTTTCTTGGAAAGCTTAATCCTCTACCATGTCGCTTATATATTATTCAAACTACGTACACTTATCAAATAGAAAATACTCTATTTAAATGCATTTGGCATGTCTCGTTTGTATTTGTGTCCCATCAGTTCTAATCACAGTTACTTATTTCAAACCCGAGAACAAATGATGTCACTTTTTTTCTTTTTTTTTTTTTCTTTTTCCTTTTTCTCTAATACCATTACACCATTATTAGAACTATGTTAACTTAATCATTATTACACCTTTGGACATTTTTGGGCATTAAGCCCATCTTCTTAATAATACATTTGCGATCTATACATTTCCATATTTTTCCAGCTTGATATTGCGTAACGTTTAAAATATCATACGTCTAATGTCTTATTTATTTGTTTTACTTCTGCTAGCAACTGTCGATGCATCTATAACAGATCTTCGATTTCTAAAATTTTTGTGCTCGTCGTATTTGGATAAATCATCTTTTCTTTTGTTACCAATGTCGACCAATTTAACATTATTGTGCCGTTCATTATTACTATCGATATTAGAATTCTTAGACGTATTTTTAACGTCTTTCAACTCTGTCTCGTACGTTTTCCGTGACGGTTGGGGCGTATAATAAAGACTAAATCGTTTTGGTTTAACTTGTTTTTGTTTCTCATTTCGTAGTTCATCAGTAGAACGAAATTTTCGTCCATCTTTTCTATCCGTATAATTGGATGAATTACTAATGTCGACACTACTCTCAATGGATTTCTTTGTCGAGTATTGAGGAATATAGCTAAATCTTTTGACTTTCACCGAATTTTTTATACTTGTTTTTATCCTCGACGGATTATCCTCTCCGAAAGATGATACGCCATTCTTTGAATGTCTTAATATATCTTGCCCCTTTGTCACGTTATTGACAGAATTTGTCTTATCATCTGTATGAAGATTTCGCACCTTGGGTATTTTTGATGTATCGTTTTTAAAATTAATCTTCTTCTTCAATACATCATCATTTGCGACTTCAACATCTTTGCAACTATTTTGATTTGGATCGTTCACATTATTGCATTTAATATCTTGATTAGGGGACATGCTTATATTCTCGAAGCTATCGGTAGATTCCATACTTTGAATTGAACTTGATTTTCGGCTATATGCTGATTGTGCAAATTGAATATTTACAAAACTGTCAGAAGTTTCTATATCATTACTGGAACTACCAGTAAAACTATCGCTCGAAGACGATACTGCATTGCAATTCTTGAGATCGTCACTTTTATAGATAGACTTCATATTAGACGATAGATTCGAGTTTTCATAACTTCTTGCACTTCTTTTATTTTGTCGTTTGCTCTCCATTTTTTTACTTAACTGAAAAATCTTAATGCCTGGCGTATCTTCTTTAAAATTGATATCACTCAATGAATTTCCATTTCTTTTATTTAACGTAGTTATTCTCGATAAGTGAACACTTTTATTAGGAGGTGTATCAATGTGAAAAGAGGAGCTATTATTATAATCGCATATTAATGACGTGGAATTATCTTTACGTAAAGATAAATTTATATTCTTAGGAATACTGCTCATTGAAGAAGTTGTACTGTGTGATAATCTTGATGAATCTTCAAGATCTTCGTTTTTATTAAGAGTGTTTATAAGATTGTGTACAGATTGGCCAAGAGCATGAATATCTTGCAAGCAATCAGCACTTAGAGACATAGGTCCGTCCTCACAGTTGATATCACTAGCCAAATAGATTTCATCTTTGCTATCTGTAGTAGCTCTCGATTGATAACGATTCATGTCAAATATCAAATTGTCATCAAAAGATGATGGTACGACGTTATTCTGATTAGGCCTTTTCCTATTACCGCATATATCATTCAACCGCACATTTTCTTGAGAACCATCATTTTTTCTTTGCTTCTTATAGTCAAACTCAAATGTGGCCAGCCTTATCGGCTTACACTGCTGATCCCCGTATTGCTCCGTCGAGTCGGTAGATGTTGTTGAGGTCTGCTTGCCTCCTAGAAAGCTCTGCTGATATACAGAGGCAGGACAAAAGAGAAAAAAAAAGCACTGCTACAGATACAGCAAACTACTACGGAAGCATTTCTAATACCATATTATAATTCAATATAGCTATGCATGGTATGCCAATTATATTTAATACTCAAAGCAATCTAATTTTAACAGTATTTTTTACAGTATAGTACAATATAGTATTTTACAGTGGCGCGATTTGGACGATTTAAAAAAAAAAAAGAAAAAAAAAGAAAAAAAAAAAAAACGAAAAAACAAAACAAAAGAAAAAGAAAAAAAATAAATGCAAAATGAAAAATAATACTTTGTTAACAAAGGATGCTATAATGATTAAAATTATATTATCATATGGAGAAAGCCATGAGCCATGCGGGTGTGTATTTAAAGGTCTTCTACTACGATATTATAAGAAAGGACAGTTACCGCTAGCCATGGATGATCAAGTACATCTTCCGCACTGAACCTAAGTTCTGGTTGTGCCTGTAGCATATTTGTGATTAATTGTTTAGCAGAATCGGAAATTGTGTCCCAGTAAGGTGAAGTGAATTCGTATTGCCCACTTAAAATACGTTCAAATAATTCTTCTTGTTCATTTTCTGGTGAAACAAATGGTGGAAAACCACACAATAATATGTATAATATCACTCCGGCTGCCCAGACGTCGATCTGAAATAAATGAACGATATTATTTAAATTCTTAAACGGCACATTAACATTAATTTTGCATGTACTTTTAAACCGTATCCAGTTTCTGCAAGTATCTCGGGTGCTACATATGTCGGTGTTCCGCACACGGTATAAAGATTTTCTCTCACTATTTGTGCAAGCCCGAAATCTCCTAATTTCAAACACCGAACATGACTACCCTCCATTTCAACTAAAAGATTTTCTGGTTTAACATCACGATGTACAATATGATGAGAGTGTAGATATGCTAAAGCGGATGTTAAATGTCCTATCATCACACTAGCTTCAGCTTCTGAAAATTTTGTAGCAGCAGCTATTGCATCAAATAAATCACCACCCTATAAATATAATTCCTTTCAATATAAAAACTTCAAATTACTCGAGACATATTGGTAATATAAATAAATCTGTGGATTATCAGATCATCCAAGTTTACCTTCACGAGTTCCATGACCAAAAACAATTGATCCATTGTTTCCTGTTCCGCGATCAAGCTAATTATGTTTGGATGACATACCTGACGCAGAATTGCAACTTCACTCGCCAACATCGTTTCCTTTCCTTGGCATTTATACTTATCCACAATTTTCATAGCATATTCTGCGCCTGTAGCTCTAAGATCAAAACAAATGTTAATGGAAAAAAAAAAGAATAATAAATAAATAAATTATTTTTATGGAATATTATTTACTTGTGAATACAGTGTCTCACTACAGCAAAATTTCCATCTCCGATTACGTGGCCCACAGCATAATGTAAACGTAGCGGTTGAGGTAAAATTAAAGAAGATGGACTTGGCGTTCTAACTTGAGGTGTAGTAAGGACCTTTTTGCCAGATTTTCGTGGCATCCTTGGCATTGGACCATTCTGTCTATTCGAAATCCATGGACATCTACGGAAACTTTGAACACATTTGGATTCTTCGAAATCTAATTCAAAATCCTCCTGATTCGACTTTTCTGTTCCATATGCCAAAAAGATATCATCACTTTCAAAGAATTGTTCCAAAGAGGTAACTTGCTGGCCTGACAAAGTATATACTTTTCTCACAGCTCCAGAATCAAGCTTTACTACCTCTGTAATAGCCTCCATTACGTGTTCCAAGCTTGGTGCATTTCTCTTGTTCAATAACAGACGTACTACCTTTCTTGGTTTGGTACCGTGTCGTATCAATGTTACTATTCTAGCTTTCACGCACAAAGGGATAGCGCTTATTTGTCTACCAGTACTAGTTGCAGACTGAGGTAAACCGGAAAGCGAACTTCCTCTTTTCACTTTTGAGGATGAATATTCTACCTTTTTAAAAATTTCTCCTTGTCCAGACACTACATAGCATTTACCATCTTCTAATTCTGAAATATTTTGTATTTTTCTTCCATCCATGGTATAAATTGCTCTAACTCCATTAGGTAATGTTACACTTGATACCAAAGCTCTTGTTAAATCAGAAGCTAAACTATCAAAACTGCGGTATCTTTCATGTGTTACCGCCATAACGACACCAGTATAAAATTTGTCACCATTTCGAAAAAATCGAACTCTTTTAGCCTTTTTCGTAGATGAAGTTCTGGCATTTGAAGACTGCCGTGCGTTAACATCCAATATCCTTTCATCTAAATTAGATATAGGTGTAGAATTTAAATCATTACTGTCTGGAAAACTACTTTCCTTGGACGGCGTGCTGCCACAATTCAATAGTTCCTCCATCATCCTGAATTAAAAAAAGAAAAGAAAAAAAAAATAAAGAAAGAAAAAAAAGAAAGAAAAAAAGAAGAAAGAAAACAAGAAAGAGAGAAAATATTAAATAAATAAGAAAAAGGAACAAAAATAAATAAATGATAGATATGAACTCTTGAAATATTTTTCAAGTTTTAATTACTTTAAGTTGCATATTCTTACTCGAAAGAAAATAAATTTTATCCAATGTAACTGAGTTAAGCTATTAGTCGATCAGCAAACTCAAAATAATGACTTTTATAGGTTACTTAATGTACATTAAGCTAAGTAAATTACTAAGCAAATTTCACAGTTAACACGCAAAAAGATTCACAATTCAATTGATTTGACACAAGAGAAAGTTATTCACTAACTTTATGTCCGTGCCATATAAAAAATTATATAAAACGCTAATGAAATAAATTTTTTTACATCTCACTTTCCAAATATCTCTTACGATTTTTCAAAAAACAACATACATAATGGACATACGTTATAAACAAAGACATTTTCATAATTTGAGAAATATCACAAATATCATATATTCAACGATACTACATTATTTGTACGCGAATGGCGATACGATAAAGATCTATTAATGACTTTTAAAGACACCACACCGGTGACGAACCGATACGTAAAATTTCGAACGTTACTTAACCTACACAACACGATTGATCTTAAATATATACACAACGAATTTCTATCAAGTGTAAATATTAATGTGCCGACATATTCACATATGTAGCTATCACAAAGCTTGCACGAAAATCTTGGGAGGGAAAAAAAAGCGCGAAACACTCACCTACTCGTCAAACAGAACGTCTCTTCGAGAGAAACGAATGAAAGACGAGTTAATGAGCGAATGAATCACCAGTGGTCTGACATTTTCATGGTAACCGTGACGCGAATGGCAGACAAAAACGCAAGAGAATTTCTTTCAAAGCGTTCCCAGGACGAAACTCCTCCTCTTTTTTCCGCGCCACTCGTTATTCCTCCCTCCTTCGCTTTCGATATTTGTGCACTTCCTACACAAGTGATACTCCGATTTTTTTATCCAGACCGTATAGAGTACATAGGAAGATAAACTTGCCAAAGTCTATAAATAAAGGCTTTTGTTAAAGAGGAAGGAAAAGGGCGAGTACGGGAGGATAAAAGAGAGAGAGAGAGAGAGAGAGAGAGAGAGAGAGAGAGAGAGAGGGAGGGAAAGTGAGGTAGAGTGAGAAAGAGACAATGACAGGCACGAGGGAGGGTTTGCGAGACGATTGGTAGTGGGATTTAAACGGGAGGGAGGAATCAGGGAGAGGGGAGGAAACGGAAATGCGAGATAAATTGTACTGAGTGCAAACACTCTCTTAAAATCCGATGGATCGAACAATATGCGTTTTATCGCACCTTAACCTCTTTTTATTTCTGAGTCAAAAGTATTTCGATTTCCAATTACGATGTTCGTCTCGTTTTCGATCGTCATCACGAAGAACGAGAAAGCGTTTTTTTTTTTATATAAATCCACGAGACCAAACATTACTTATTTTTTGTATCGTATTATGTACATTATATATTTTCCCAAATACCATCACGATATTAAATATTACCAATATATATCAATTGCTTTCACTAAATTCTTCTTTTTACAATTATATATATATATATATATACACATTATCATAAGAGAGGAATAAGAGACGATGTAAGTATTTATTCGTCTGCTAGGTGGCATTACAGGTTCATGTCGCTAGTTTGCCACGTATCTATATTAAAATTACCGATGTTACGTATTATATCTTATTGATTGGTCCTTAAAACTATATTTTCGATATAATTTATACAAAAAAGGATAGATCGATTTCATAACTGTATCAATTTTCTATAATTTATATAAATTTTATTTTTATTTTTACCATAACATTTCTAATATGTATAGATCTAACAAGTCCTCTGATAGCCGTGATCGTCTAGTGGTTAGGACCCTACGTTGTGGCCGTAGTAACCCAGGTTCGAATCCTGGTCACGGCAATGCCTCGACAATAAAAAGGCATTGTCACGGCAGAGGTTTTTTTTTGTATGATTTTATTTTCGACAATTAATTATTATTTTAACCACTACGTAAGTACAACAAATATACATATATATATATGTTCTCTTAAATTATTTAATTATTATTCTTAAAAAATAAAGAATGTGTGTGCAATTGAAACGTATATTTTTAGAATTAGGATCAGGATAAAGGTAATTTTTTAAAAGAAATCTTTTAGGTTTTATTAATACCGTAAATATCAATGTGTATTATATTCAACATGACGTCGAACTACATATACACACATGCATACGTTCAGATCCGTCAAGAGGATCGCACATCATGCATGTGACATCACTGCTGAATAATGATGCCTCTCTTACGCTCTTACAATATCCTTTCTCGCTTTTTAAATCCTTTTTTTCTTCTCTTCGTAATAAAGCTTCGAAATTGACATTAGCATTCATCCAGGGGAGCGATGGTAGAGACAATACTTTCGATGCGAAGAGACATAATACGTGATATCGATATAACGTCAAAAGCGTCGAAGATCAATGAGAAAAGAGAAGAATGTATGAATTAGCGATAAATCGTGCTTTTTGAAACACAAATATAAGATCGATCGATGATATCAGATTACGCTTTCATAATCGAAAAATTCTTATTCAGAGAGAGAGAGAGAGAGGCTTTGAAAGCCATTTGAGAACCACTGTATTGTACCGTATTCAGGAAAGTTCATATTCGTGATTCGCTAAAGATACATAGAAACGGTCGATCAATTATTATCGAAATAGCAGTAACGATATGCGATACTTACTTATAAATAATATAATACGCGAATTTGAATATTTCTATATTACAATAAAATACATGAAATATCTGCTTACGAGCTCTCACGTTTTCGCGCCAGAATTCTTTTTCCGACGCATCGCGAAAACCCGACGCACTCGGTTCGGCTGCGTTCGGGCAGGTACGTTAGTCAGTTACAGAGACGATTGGTGGGAGAATCGTAGCGGGGCCGTAAGTTGCTTAGCTAGTGGGGATTGGTGCCTGAAGAGTGGGGAGGAGTGAGCGGGGAATGGATCGTGTCGCGGGAAGGTAAACTGGCGGCGTTCTCCGGAAGAGTGCCGCAGTCTCGTTCGACGCGTGTATCTTTGCGGTAGTGCGATATTATAACGTGATTGCTACGGCGCTTAGCCGTACTCTTGGAGAGAAGGTAAGGCAAAGAAAGAGGAAGAAGAGGAGGAGGAAAGCAGCTGTGACGAGTATATACCTATGACGAGAACGCGACGGGAGATCGGTCTATCTATGTGTTAATCGGTGTATGTGGTCTCTTTCGGAAAAAGAGCGCATATACTTAAAACATAACGTTATATCGAATTAATTTCCTTTTTTTTTTTATTGGAGACGCTGAGTGTGAGTGTTATAATAGAAAAAGGGTATGTTACGTTATTGAAAAACGAAAAATCCTTTCGTCGTGTGCTACATTTGCGTGTGATCTACGACGGCGACGACGACAACAACGAGGAAGACGAAAACGACGAGGACGACGACGACGACGACGACGACGACGACGACGACGACGACGACGACGACGACGACAGGGACGAAAGGTGGCGGCGTCGGCGGCGGCGGTAGAAGAAAATGCAGGCACGATACGTCGTCGCAGGTAAGAGTAGAAATAACGTTGAAAATGACGTCGAATAGTAACTGGCATACCACATCAACTGTCAGATCTTTCTTACCTACCGTACTAATCGCCATTTCAATTCTATCCTATTCCTTTATTTCCTTTTCCACCTTACAATATGAGGGTCTTACTTCTGCATGCTTTCGTGCAGGTAGATACGCACCGTAGCGTGCACCCTTCTCCCTCTTTCCCCCTTCCCTTTCTCTCTTCCTCCCCCGCCGCGTGCACACTCTCTCACTCTCTCTCTTTCTCTCTCTTTCTCTCTCTCTCTCTTCCACTTCACTCTCACCATTTTGTTGAGCCTTCCTTTTCTTGCGCTCGAATACGAAGCGCGTAAATTTTTTGACGCATTCTATACATGCGAGCGATCCTTTTTTTTCAACCATCCCCCTCCTCCCGCCGCCCCACCCCATTGATTTGAACACGATTCACGTAACGCGTTTCGTTTCGAGCCGATCGAGGTCAACGAACTCGATCCATGTTTCTAAACGATCCATCGCGTTCGATCATTTTCGTATGTATGTATGTATGTATGTATGTATGTACGTAATGTAAAAAATGAACGGTCCTCTGGTCACAAAAACTTTTTTGTAGCAATGCAGTTCGAAAGGCTATGTAGATCACACCTGGTTTTTTTCGGAGCCACAGGTGGCGCTCGTCATATTTCTTTTTATTTTTTTTTTTTTATACAATACTTACATGCATACGATATTTATATCCTATGTATAAATTTTTTATTGTAACCTTGTAGTTATTTATTTAGAGGCATAACTTGCTTCTCGTTTTAACTCGTTTTAACTTGAGAATTCATTGCTCAAGAATCTAGATCTTTCTAACTTAAATTAGTTTTATTAATAATGCAATATAGACATAATAGTAATAGTAGAATCAAATTAAACAAGTACATATGTGATTGGATATCTAATTACTCATTAGCGAAATCATAGTGATTATGATTATTAAAAGTTAAGAAAGTTTAAAGGAATTTCTACGTAAGATCGTTGAACGTTCTCATTATAACAAGTCGAAACCGAAAACGATCTTTTTTTTTTATTCACGTAATAAATCTCGTATATCTAAGTTCGTAATTGGCATTTATCGAATCGACTAATTCGAAATAATCGATCTCGAGGCGATTGTTTTGATATACATAAGTACGTGTGTGCGTGTGCGTGAGAGAGAGAGAAAGAGAGAGAGAGAGAGAGAGAGAGAGAGAGAGAGAGAGAGAGAGAGAGAGAGAGATCTAATTTATAATTTATAATTTTACGAGAAATCTTTCCCAAAATTATCGTCGATAGAAATTTTGTCGTAAATCTCGTTCCCAGCACGGAGTAGAATCGAGTAGAAACGAGTAGCAACTCTCTCGCGGTTTTGACTCTACCTACGGCATGTCTTGCCTTTTACCGCAACTGCTGATCTTCGATTCGCGCGAGTTCCCATCGAACACACGCCCGAAGAGTAGCGATTCCGTTCGTTGTAAAATCAACTACGTATCTATCAATATTTCCTTTTTCTTTTTTTTCTTTTTAACATTTAACAATAATTACGTACGTAACTCTCGTTAGTACTTCGGTTATTTTTTCTCTTTTTTTTCGCGATGTTTGTGTTCGGTATAGAAAACAAAAAACATTGTGTAAAAAAGGTCGTGTAAAAATTGATTTACAAAAAAATATAAAACTCGTATTATGTTAAGGTAAACTGTACAAAAAGCTACTTGAAATATAGAAATAGCGTATACTACAAATATTTTATTTAATAAACCCACAAATAACAAAATTAATACGTCGAGTAAAAAAGAATGAAAAGTATTTTCTTTTTTTAAATTAATACACGATCTTCGTGACGTTATCTGTGAATTAATTAATGTGCATTTTTGCAACCATGTAAAATGAAACGTGTTAAAATCGTTCAACTGCGAATTGTATAAAAAAAATACCGTGTAAAATTTATTGAAAATTTGAAATTTTCAAATGACACTTCCTTACAAATTTCGTAATCCGATATTTTTCAAATTCTTAGGCAATAAATAAATAAATATACTTTTATGTCGACAGAGGATCGATATGATGAAAAAAAGGCTTCATCAATGACTGAATCGTAAGAAAGAAAAAATATTTCATGATTTTTTTTATTATTTAATCAAAATCTCGTTATAATCTCACTGCGAACATCATATCGAAGGACCCTACGAACGACCATAAATTTTCATGCGATTTGGAAGAATATAAGAAGGGCATTTCGAAAATTTATATGTATATATATTGATCATTTTCTTTATAATATACTATTAATTAATAAGAATATTGAAATAGAAGTTGTTTGAAAATGTATTTATATATAATAAACAGAAGATTGCTTCAATGAAAGAAGATTCTGCCCTTGAGACGTGATCACATTTAGATTATATATAAAAGGAAAGAAATAAAAGCGACAAAAGAAACAAGTGGGAAGAATTTTCTCACGTTAAAATGAGAACGTCTACGTAGCTTCTTACTATATAAGGGCAAAACGAATACTTCTTTCTGGTAAATAGATATCCTTTTTTTAAATTCTACTATAAATGGTATCGCGCTATATCAAGAATAGAATGGCTTTTTTTCAATTTTTAGAAAGCATCAGAGGATTCGACACAACTATGAACTAATCCTAATAATAAGATTTTATTTCGGTTGATATTCCAAGGAAATATCATTTACGTAGTATGTATTACTCAAATATATACTACGTACATATACAAATAATCTATGTATATATCTAATGATCGTATACGCTCAAATGTCTTGCACTATCTTAATGTTTTCAATACAAAAATAAAACTGTTTCATTTCAAAATTATCATGATAACACGTCAACGAATTAACGTGTTCTTTCGAATCATTTCACCATATATTTTTACAATTATTTTCCCACAATCTTATTTTATTAACTAAAAGATTCATAATTATTTGTACAAATGGTATGATGACGTCAGCATGATATTATAAAGTTCAACAAAAAAACAAATGATAATAATGCATAATTATCTATAATCGTTAAAGAAGCCAATGAATTATTATTCGTTTAAAATATATCCATTTAAAAATCACAAATAAATCTCATATTTTCTCCCTCATTTTATTTTATGCGTTTTGTATTATTCGAGTAATATTAAAAAAGAAAGAAAAAGAAAAAATTTATTTATAAAATTTTTCCAATAATCCATCTTTTCTTATCTTCGATCTTCCAATTCTCATCTTTAACGAGCTCGGATGGTAGATCTTTCTAAAAAACTACGCATATTTATACCGTTTTTACCTTCGTACGCTCGATTAGTTCCGTGAAACGTACTTTTTCCTTTAATCAAGGCACTAGTGATCTTTATATTTAACTAAAAAGAAATTGTTCGAACGCTTCTCCATTGAAATCTCTTAAACGACCTTAATGCCTCCTACCGAGCTACGCAGACTTTTCTTTTTACCTGAACGCGTTATCAATCGTTTAAATATGGCAGGAATTTCAAAAGAAAAATGTATTGATGAACGAGACGTGATTTCCATTATGACGATATACATAGGCTATAGCATTTTAATGACGTTTGAAATTTATGTTAAACGATAAAATCGATGATTTGTAGTAAACGAAGTGCAAGTGATAGGTTTCGTATTTTTGAGATATATCATTTTCATTATCACTCGAACAAATATCGATCATGCACGAAAGATTATAAATATGGATATTATTAAAAATTTCGATGAAATTTGAATCGATCGATTTCTACATGCATGACTGTATAATAAGTATATAATATAGTATATAGATATATTAATAGGTATATAATACATATGGGATAAATATTTTATGTGATATAATTATCGAAAAAAAAAATGAAAATTCAATGATTAAAGCATGCAATAATTGTCGCTTATAACTTATAATTGCGTTTAACGATTCATAAATAACATATAAAAAATTGTTATTACGTTTTTACGAAAAAAAGAAAAAACAAAAATAATATAAAGAATTAACATAATATAAAAAAATGTGCGAGTACATCCGTACAAATTCTGTTCTTAGTTCCTTGAACAAATGAACGCGAGTATTATACGTAAATACGTAGTTACGTTTGCTTAATTAACAAATTTCAGTTGACAATATTCAATTGTCATTAAATATTGTTGAAAACGTTCGATAAAATTCCATGGGTCATGTGCATATCGTGCTCTGAATTACTCACGACAGATCGATATAGATATTAGTGTAACGACCTCGAAAGTTGACTCTCACGAATCGAAATAATTAAGGGCTTTTCTATTTATACGTCATCGAGTAACAATTCGATGATATAGATATTATTTTTCATAGCTCCTTAAAGTATATTTTTACGTATTATATACTAGATATTATAGATATAGTACTATATGTATATACGTAAAACATATGTATTTACGGGCAAGAAACTTGAAAGTTTCTTTCGATCATACGATAGGATGCGTTCACAGTCCGTCGAACTCGGTACATATCGATTGCTGTAAATCTTGTTGTTGCAACAACGTCTTTGGTTTTCGTCGGTAAAAGCTTATTTTCTTCGGATGAAACTTGTGAAACGCTTCATAGTTTTACGCATTATGAATATACATGAAATTATGTATACACAGAGTATGTACATATATTACATACGTGTGTCTATATATACATGAGTATATATATATATATATATATATATACACGTATGCATTTACACAGTCACACTAGAAAATGAAGAGAGAGAGAGAGAGAGAGAGAGAGAGAGAGAGAGAGAGAGAGAGAGAGAGAGAGAGAGAGAGAGAGAGAATCTGAAATCATTAATTGTTTAAATTACTTTTATTTCAATTCCATTTTCCATTTCATATTGATGAGACTTTTTTAAGGAAACTAAGAAATGTAGGTAAAAGGTATTTTATTTAATAATACATATAAATATTCTTTATATATTAATAAATATATATATATATATTTATTAA